AATGGTTAGAGAGGTTTGAGACATCGAGGAGATTTGTGGATTTGTTCACAGTCACCGGGCTGACTGGCCAACATGTGTCCCCGGATTTGATGCACACCAAGTGGTGTGGCGTCGACACATATTTGAACGGCGGGTGTTTGGCCGTTCTCCTGGAGCACAAGTTCGACAACAAGTTGGACGTGTTACTGCCTGCGTTGCAAGAGTATCCAACATTCCATTTTGCAGTTTGTTTGATGGTATTTGAGTCTTAATATGGTTCAATGAAAACGGTATATAGATATATTGTTCAATGTTCTGCCCAGGTATGTGCCCTCCGAGCTGTCGACATTTGTGGCCACTTTGACAACACAGAAATTCCAGAGCACAGACAAAACTTTCCCAGTCCTCAAGGGACGAGCTTACCAATGCAGAGGTTTGACCGAGCCTTTGTTGAATCTGTGGGTTGACCGCATGAGCGGCAGTCGCCAGGATCGACTCCTAAAAATGGTCATGCAAAGATCTGTAGATTTCGATCGAATCATCCGCAATTATGCAATGGCATCGGTGCTGCCAGCTGACGTGTCTTGGACGAGGTTCTAGAGTTTTTTCCTTGGAATTCAAAGTTGAATTTGTAAGAGAGTTATGGAGCATTTTTGGCTGTAGAAACATGATTCGATCCCTAGGCCTCCCAAAGACTGACGAAATGCATGTCAGAGTTCATCCCGCTGTACAAAGAGCTGCAGCTCGCCTGGGAAGGCTTTTTCAATATGACCAAAAAGTGGCACGACCTGTTCCACTCAGCACAGCGGTCATCGGAGGTCAATCCGGCAATCACTTCTTGTATGCTGCAAGAGGATCTCATGGGAAAGATCAAGACTATCGTAAAGCAAAGCGTGCAGGCATCTCGGCCACTGACTGCGACCACGAAAACCATGGTCAAATATCGGCTAGGGATTCACCTGGAGCATTGCAGGGTGTGATATAGGACGACCAAGGTTGGATTTGCAAGAGACTTGGACAAATTGCCACTGGCATGCAACCTCTGGAATGCTCCTGGCGACTTCCAAATGTCATCAGATGCCTCCATGCCTTTTAAAAAGGCATGCTATTCGTCAGATTGTCCCACTTAAGGGCCAAGCAACGAATCTTTTTTGAGCAGTTGCTGGAAAACATGGAGCTCACCTCACGTAGGGCAGGCATATTCATGATGGAACGTGGAACATGACTTTAATTGAACCGCGCTGGCATTTGTTGGTTACTGAGGATGTTTGGAATTGTTTGGAAAGGTTTTTTTGCTTTGAGAGAGTTTGAGAGAGTTTTGAGAGCTTTGCTTTGAGAGAGTTTTGAGGGAATTTGTTTGGAGAGTTCACGGATTTGATTGACCCGTTCCGAATAGCCGAGTGAAATTTTGCTCAATATCAGCTGAGCCGCGTAGAGCCAACGTCCTTATAATTGTGATCATGACTGAAACTTCGAGGTTCGCGCAATGTGTTCGCTTTTTGCAAGCGGTTGCTGATGAGAGAATCTGTGTCAGCTGCTGGGCTGAGATGCTTGAGGAATACTTGGAAAGGTGGGCCATATATTGAGATTTGTTGATTAACAATGGACACCCCAGTCAATATGCAAGCTTGCTTGCGCAGGGAAGACTACATTCAACTACTTCGAGTATCGAAAGATTGTCGGTGCGATTTGGACAGCCAGCCAGAAGATGCAGAAGAAGATGCAGATCTGGATGCCAGACAGCCGTGAAGCAGAGTCTTCCTTCCAAATAGAGTTTGCAGGTGACCTTCCAGCAAAAGCGTCGGGAGGGCACCTAGACATATGACCACGATCGAATCAGAATATCCAGCCGCTGGTCAATGATCGACCAGATCGGTTGACGCATATATGGTGGGTGGAAAAAACTGTGTGTTTCTATGCGTGCCAAATGGGCTCAGGGGACGGTCCATGGTGTGGTGAGGATCGAAGCATATACGTTATATAGGTTAGTTGACAGTTCCGAGTGTTTTCTTAATGCCGCAGCCATATATGGTCATATGGTCTGGAGCTTAGAGTTTTTTGAGTTTCTGGTTTTTGAGTTTTCGGGGTTTAAATGGAAATTTCAACGAACCCCTACTAGCAAGGTTGTCAATAGGAAGACGTTGTTCAATTTGTTTGGAGAGTTAAGTCTGAGTGTTTCAAGAGGCTGAACCTTCGTTTGACAGGGTGAATCCTCATCCTTTTCAGGAGCCAGTCAGCCCCTCATATACTCTCAATCCCAAAAACTCTCCATTTAGAACCCTCAAACGTTCAATGCAGACATTTCAAGAAATCCGAAGCAGCTGCGCCACCTCCTGCTGTGCCAAATTTCACCACCAGGCCTGTTCGAAGACTTGCGCATAAGCTAGGTTTGAGAGACTTAATTGCGGGTTTTGAGAGAGTTGCGCGTGAGAGTTTGAGAGAGATTCTGCCCACTGGCAATGTTGTTGTTGGTGGTGGTGGCGTTGGTGGTGGTGGTCGTGTCTACACTCGCAAGATAGTTTACTATTCCAAACAAGCTTTATTATTGGAAATATATTTTTTTTATTATTTGGAAAATATAATTTTATTATCAATAAATAAAATTTTATTTCAAAAATAATAAATTTTTATTATCAGAAAAATAATTTATCATTTTTTAAAATCTATTTTTTTCATAAAACTTATGAATTTCACACATTTTCTCTTAAAGGATTCTTATGGTCAAAAATCTCAAGAGCAGAAAAGGACATCTTATCGCATGATCCGTGAAATAGCCCGTGAACATAAAAAGGGGGAAGGGGGGGGAACGATACGTCCGGGACGAACCCGCCAGGCGCTCCGGCCTCCTCCCCCCTCCTGTGGCAGCGTCCCCGCTGGTTTCTCCTTCAAAAACCTGTCCGGTGACCTGGCAAAAAAACGAGCTAGATCGATCGATCCTCATCGATTAGTGAGCTGGCGCCCGGGCCGAGCGACGAGGGGGCCGAGGCAGGCGTCTGATCAGGATCACCCTGACCTCCACTGCCCAGACCCGCGGCATCTGTTGGCCGCCCTTCCCTTGCCGCCGACGGGAGCTCAAGATCTTGAGGGGGCAGATCATCTACCTCCTCGATCGTGGCCGACGTCTCATTGGAAACTTTCGACCGGATCTGGGATGCGAAAACGGCTGGCGTGACCTGCGCAGAGGACCGAGCATATCGCCGATCGTTCCGCGCGTGATCCCGAGCTTCGTCTTCGATGTGATCCGTGGACCTACTCGGAGGAGCGTTAAAAGAACGGCTGGCCAGTTCAAAGTCCGCCTGAGCCGAGGTCGATACGACTGGCTCGTCCGCCGAACTAGATGCTACGACCCGCTCAGTCACGTGCCTCCAAGTACCCTCAGTGATCGCTGGCGGCCCAAAAGGAGCTGCTAGGCCTGCCTCTTGACGCTGCGTCTCCGCGATCGCCTTGGGATTCACGATCTCCGGTGCCCTGGTCCAGAGCTTGGACGTGGCTGTGATGTGGAAGTTCCCGTCGTCGAGATCTCCGATGAAGTCGACCAAGCAACCCACATCTTCAGCGTTCTCCGCGACCGCCCAATTGAACCAGTGCTCATGCACCGCCGCCAGTTGACCGAACTGTTCAGTGTGCTCAGGCCCTTCAACTCGAGCTCGAGCTTGTCGAACGTTCTGGATCGTCTGGATGAGGGTTGGCCCTGAGATGTGAGAGACCGTCAGCCAGGTTCCTGGCACTGAGGTCCTTTGGCACTTCAGATCCAGCCTGTTGTTGGCGTCCCTGAACCTGAACTCTACACGATCTGCATCGTTGCCCATGGCGTCCTGCGACGATCGGTTGCACACCCGGAGCTCAAACCGAGACCTGGCGCGATCACCAGCCACAACAGCACCATTGGGACCGACCGAGTAGGTCCTGCCTCCACACTCGAACGAGAAGACCGTCACCCTCCAGCCGACGAAAGCGGCCACGACGACCGACAGCCTTGGCTTCCCGCGGTTGCATTGCCTGAGCAGGACCTCATCGACGAACTGCTGTTGCACGGTCAGATCTGTGTCTGCCCGATATCCTCTGAAGATCCAGTGGAAGAGGATCTCATTGCCATTGTACACCTTGACATCAGTATATGATGCTGAGGTGTCTCTGAGCATAGGCCACGAAAAAGGCTGAAAAGCCGGGTGGCTCAGAGCTGTGGCAGTGTGCCTGTCCCATCCATTCGGAGCCCCTGTTTCAGTGTCCAGAGCAATGACGATCACTGCCTTGATCCCGTCCAAGGTGTAGTTCCCGAAAAGCGAGAGGTGGAAGCCCGAGTTGGGCGGCATGACTTGATCCCTTTCGGTCAAGACATTGATGGAACTTGCCGAGTTGGCCATGATCTCCCGTGTCAGCCAACATTGGAACGGCGAGACCATGCGCACATCCCGATCGTCCACCATGATGAGCGAGTTCTCGGACTGATCCGCCTCATTGTATTCCAGCCAGTTCAGGAACCTCGGCAGTTTCACCTCGAACGGGTTGTGGGCGGCATTGTGAGCGCCATAGCTGTAGGTGGCTCCATGTGAGCCCCAATTTCCACCACGGTTTCCATGACCACCGCGGTGACCACCCTTGCCCGACATTGCGTCACTCCCAGGCCAAGGTGGCGAACGCCACAAGCGTTCAAAAATCAGAGCTCACACCTTGAGCCAAAATGGCATGAGCATGCCATTGGCTCAGTGCTCTCCCAGATTGGCTGATCAGCCACATTGTTGAAATAATTGAAAAGGATCAAATAAAAAGGATCAATCGAATGGAGATGTTGGAGTTGTGAGGGAACGAACAATTGATCTACTTATCCCAGCCTAACCAACCGATGATAAGTCAACATGTATATAAATCTATCAGTCAAGAACATTCTCCTGTTTCTAAGACTGAGGCCGGTGATTTGCGAATCCTGTGATTTTCTAAGTACAGTATTGCCGTATCGTTGGAAGTTTAAGTATGGTTTGACACCCAACCACAGCCTGTCAGCCATCGCTTTGCCGAGGAACGCAGCACACTGCGGTTGGGCGCACGCTGACAGACATTGGACAGAGATGGAAGGCACCAGGATCGCCAGCAGGGTCTCAGAAAGAGTCGCTTCGGTTCACCTCTTTGGACCTCTGTAGCCTTCAGACTGGTAACTTGTTACTAGCAGCGATGCCCTTGTTACTAGTAGCTTCTAGCTACAGTAGCGATGCCCCTGTTACATAAACCTTCCTCTTTGCCTGTCTTTTTGCCTTTTGGCCTTTCCTTCTAAAAGCATCTGGATGTGTAATTACTGTACCTCAAACATCTCAACATGACTTGAGGTGTTTTTTTGAGAGTCTTCAATACCGTTATATACATTCATTTGATCTGGATCCCACATGCCTGTAGATGGACAGGCACGCTGCCAGCGTTCCCAGCGCCCACAAGAGTGCCAGAAAAGGTACTGCGGCCACACCTAGAAAAACTCATTTGTCCCTTGTCCATGAAACAAAATGCAAAAATATTCGATTGACGGTTATCTTTGTCAATGGAAAATCTGTTCAATCGCCGACACAAGCAGTTGACATTCTTCAAAGGCTCTGGACTAAGTGCAATCCAGGAAACTGAGGGGGCGTCCAGCCATAGGAGCCAGCACAGTGAAGACCGCCAAGGCTGGGTGCGTGAAGGCAATTCGAAGATGAATTGGTCAACCAAGGTCAAGGTCAACATGGTGAACTGGCAATCAAACAAAATAGGTCAACAACAACTGGTGGTTTAGGGAATTGTGGTTCGACCTACACTTGGGCGTATTAACCGCAACAAACCACTGCAACCAAAACTATTGGTGACTAGAAGTCTCTTGCTCTTGCGCGGATTACCCCTTCACGGAACAAGGACCCCTTCCAATCCATCACTTCTAAAGCCTTCGCTAGCCTGCAAGCAAAACATCTTTGACCTCCCGTGACGAGAAATCTCCCATGTGTTTGAAAGAGTAGAGTAGTAGAGATTGCAAAACCTTTTACAATTCTTGAATTCTTGAAATTTTCATATGCAAACCTGTTGAGCGCAAAAACGGCATCACATCTACGTCGTCCCCCCACCAGGAACCCATGCTGATCGATGCCTGTCGATAAACACCTGCTCACAGCAAACGCTACCTGACAAAACAAAGATGAAGGTGGTGTTGACCCTTGGTGTGATCGCCTCATGAGCGAGCGCGCAGTTGATCCCACAGCTGGGCCCGCCTGCTGCTGACGGCTTTACCCAGGGTGCCACGGCGGCCAGTTGCCCATCCACATTGCCCAAACGTAAAGCCTCTGGGGTTAAGCCGCCGAATACAACTTGGGAAACCAGAAGTCAGCTCCACACGGCGCCACATGGCCACTCCCAAAAGTCTGAGAATGGTGTTATGCTAATCACAGTGCCCTCTTAAATTCTTATTGTTACTAGTAGTAAGGCACTTGTTTCTGATAGCTTTTTGTTACTACTAGTAAGGCACTTGTTACTAGTAGCGTGGCACCTGTTACTAGTAGCGTGCCCTCTTCATGCCTCACACTTTGGGACTATTTTCTCCTCACACGTCCAGCATAGCCAGCCAACCCCACCTTCTCACCAATGGAGGTTTGCACCTGCAGATCTCCCGCAAAAGAAGTGTTGTCAGTCAACAGTTTTTGAAAAGGTTGTTCTATCTTGGTCCATCTATATTCTGATGCAATAACAAAAACAGGAGTGGAACAATGAAGCAAAACCAGCCATTTCCTGGGACAGCTGCAACTTGTTGGGGAGCCCATGAACTAAAACATTTCACGAATTGTCAAGTGTGACAAAGAGGGTGAGGGAGGGTGAGGTACGGAAAGACTTCAGGTATATAGTGGAGAGGCATTCACGGCATCCCGAGTGAGGTGATAGTGTGATGTTTGTCTGTCGCACCAGCTCCAGAATGGATGCAGGCAATTGTCCAAGTGTTTTTTAAATGATTCAACATGTTTTTGTGAAATCCATTTGCCTGAAGAGCTATCGTTAGTTCGGGGAAGTTCATGGAAAGCCAACCGATGCTGGTTGGGGGAGTCCGCCTCAAATAGGCTTGTAGAAGCAAACAGAAAAGACTGGAAAAAATCTCATATTTGGGTTCATCTGCACTCATTTGGACGAAGCACTCATATGCAACTGGTGTTTTTTGTCAGCATTCTGGACCGACGCTAGACCTTTGTTGGAAAGGGCTTCGCACAGAATCCCGCTTAGACACCTTCCAATTAGTCTCTAGTCCAGCAATCTGCAAAAAGGATATTTAAAGTCAATGTGGCATGTCAAGTTTAGAATGTTTCATTACCAATCCCTGAAGCAGGATGTGGGCGAACTTCGGGCTAGCTTGAAGAGTTTTGGATTGGTTTTTGTTGCCTATGTCACTAATGTTTAAACAGCCGGGTGAGGGCAGGTGCAGTAGCAGTACCACTAGCAGTACCAAAACCAGTAGCAGTAGCAGTAGTAGTATTAGTAATAGTAGTAGTAGTAGTGTAGTAGTAGTAGTAGTGTAGTAGTAGTAGTAGTAGTAGTACTAGTAGTACTAGTAGTAGTAGTAGTAGTACTGGTAGTACTAGTAGTAGTAGTAGTAGTAGTAGTACGTGGTGGTGGTGGTAGGGATGTTGCTGCATTGGGGCGCCCAATCCATCCTCTGAATTCTACCCGCCAATGGCTCACAAAAGGTTTGGAATGGCACCTTCCTCCACCAAATTGTGCCCTATCGTGGCTCAAAAAGGTTTGCTATTGGAATGGCACCTTCCTCATCTAAATTCATACTCAAGTGGCTCGTAAAAGGTCTGCCATCTTGGAGTGCACTAAATTTTACCCTCAGGTATCCTCAGGTCACCTTCTTCTTCTTCCTCGTCAAAATTTTACGCCCGGACGCCGCACAAAAGGTCTGCTACCTTAGGTTTCCTCCTCCAATTTTACCCTGAGGTGGCTCACAAGCCTGCTACCTTGGAATGATGCCCTCCTCCTCTAAATACTTTCGGGCGGCGCACAAAAGGTTTGCGCCTCGGGTGGCTCACAAAAGGTCTGCTACATTGGAATGGCACCTTCCTCCTCTAAATTCTACCCTCCGGTGGTTCATACCTTGGAATGGTACCTTCCCCCTCTACATTTTACACATGGGTAGCTCATAGAAGATCTGCCAGTTTGGAGCACTAAATGATTTCCCTTGGGTGGCAAAAGGTCCGCTACCTTGGATCAGCCTCACAGGTGGAACGGCACCTTCCTCAAACTACTTTATGGATCAGCCCGCTGGCGGATCTGTGCTGCATGAGCCTCAACCAACTGCAGTTGAGATGGTTTACGTTGAACTCAACAGTTGCTTTGGGAGCATCCCATCTTGGTGGATCCATTTGTCTGGCATCGTCTTGCTCAAGGCTCCAGACCATACACGCACGACAGTCATCGTTCAAAAACCTATCCAGACGGTGACTCATTCAAGTTCCCTCAGCAAGTTTCAACCACATTTCAACCGCCTCAGCCCAACGGTTAGTCAGACAAGCTTCAGCAAAACTAAAACAAAAGCAAGCGCGCAACAAAAATAAGCCTTAGACAAAAAAACAAACAGCTGGATCTGCTGATGATTTGTGAAGTGGGCAAGTTCATCAACAAGCGGTGTGTGATTGCGCAACAACACGTTAACACGTTAGCGGGACCCGCACCAGTATGACTTATGTCAGAACGACAGCCTGACAATGCGCCGACGCAGCACCACGCCGGCATATCAGCGTAACAATGACAATCATGCGAGACAACGTGTCTATACACCTCTGTGCGACAGCATTCTACATGCACTGCACACCAATATGGCACTATGTTGTCAGCTTGTCAGAGTGGCAACACCTCAGCTTGTCAGAGGTAAAAGCATGATAGCAGGCTAGCGAAAGCTGCATGGTAGTGTGATGGCATGTCAACATGTCAGCAAGCATGACTAAAGGCCTGCATCGTGACGTGTGAGCACTATCGCTATACGTGATATATCTTCAAGGCTCCGGAAATTGTGCCAGGCTGCTCCAGAACCTGTTCCGGAACTTGCTCCGGAACTCGGAGCCTGCTCCGGAACGTGCCCTGCAACCTTGTCCAACCTGCTCTGGAAACTGCCTTCGAAGCTCCTCCGAAACCTGCCCCGGAATCCCGGAACCTGCTCCAGCAACCTCCTCTGGAACCTCCTGTGGGCCAGAACATCCTCTGCAACCTCATCCGGAACCTGCTCCAGAACTTTCTCCGCAACCTGCTCGAACCTGCTCCGGAACCACCTCCGGAACCTGCTCTGGAATTGGCTCTGCAACCTCCTCCAAAACCTGCTCCGCAACCACTCTGGAACCTGCTCGGACCTCCTCCCCTGCTCCGCAACCGCTCCGGAACCTGCTCTCCGGAACCTGCTCGGGAAGCTCCTCCGGAACCTGCCCCAGAGCTTGCTGGAATCTGCTCCGAAGTCTCCGTTAGGGGAAAAAAACAAAGAAAATAGTGTTTCTTTGGGCCTGGTATGGGTCTTCACTTCTTTAGGATTTCTTTGGGTTTGTGTTAGGGTTTCACTGTTTTAGGATGTGTCGGATCATTGCAAAGAGGAAAGTGAACAAAATGTTTGGCTTTGGTTTGGGCATTGGGGCCTCTCTTCTATTTAGGGTTTTTGTTGGGTGGCATGGGGCCAGAGGACCAACCCAGGGACCAACCTAGGACCAAGCGGTTCGGGGACGCAGGGATGGGAGGAACTGGGACCAAGGGAGCAGGGGACGACCAGGGGACCAAGGGACCAGGGAAACAATTTGTTTGTTGATGCTTATCATGTGTTTTCTACCTATCCCTATACAGCCGGTCCTCAAGCACTATCCAAGTCAATGGTGTCCTACTAATATAATTTGTTCATGTTTCAGACGCACCAGGAGACTTTGAAGCCTGAAGGGATTGGGCTGAACATAGGCACAAAAACACGGAATCAGATGGCGTACTGTAATCCATCTCACATTCTCCGAAACAGCCCAACTTGGTGCCCGAACCACCACACGCTCCTGAGGTGCAGGTCTCAGCACCTGGCTGGAGCCCATGAGTCTGTGGCGAAATCAAGCTGGCTGGGCCCCTGGGCCTGTGTCTTCTATTCCGAAATCCACCAAGAACCAAACCCCCATACTGCTCCGTCAAGGTTTTATCACAAATAGTTGCTCAGAGAATGCTGTCAAGTTCAAGTTCATTGTTCACTTCGCCTCAGCCAACGTGCCATTTAGCTCTGGGATTGATTTCAGGCCAAAGACGCGCACCACCTCATGAGGATTCTGGGGCACAAATGTGCATCCTTCACACAATAATGGTGCAACTAAACTTGAGACGCAGCTCAAAGCTTACCTCTACTGTTCCAGCTCAGGCAGTAGAATGAATAGCTGCACAGAAGGATTCCCTCGTGGCTCACAAACCATTTTCACATCGGCGAAGGGAAACCGAGCTCGTGCTGTTAGGTTTCAGGGAACGAAGGAAGCTGTCGATCAACGTCAGCACCGAAGTCAGTCGGGAGTCGACTGACACGACCCTCAGTCGCAACTTCAAACTATGCAAGGTTGCGATGTGCACAAACTACCGCAACTCCGCATGTCACAAAGATTCACAAAGAATGTCGACGGCACGGGGCGCGCATGGATCTTCCATGCTGCAGCTACCACAAACCCAGAAGCTCGAGCTGGGGAACAGGATCAATCAAAAACCAGTAGTCGTGCTAGCAAGGCCTTGTTGCCGGCTGCTCTACACAATGGGAATGCTTGTCAAAGCAACTTGACTCACTCAACCTTATTTCTGCCATCTAAACTCCCCAGTCTTCAAGCCACCCTGTGAAAACACGCCATCTGCCTAGCCCGCAGGGTGACTTCAGAGCATCTAAAAATCCAGCCACAGGCCGGTCCAACAAGGCTGGGCAAAGCATGGCAACTCCGTTGTTACTGCCTGTGTGGTTCTTGAAAGTCCTTAACCATCAGATCTTGGCTTGCGCAGAAATCGAGCCCCTTTTCACAGCATGAAAGGTCAATGTGAAATGCAGTACATTCATCTGCATGCCTATGTGTGCTTGCCAGCCTGGTCTTGCAAGTGTGCATTCCGGTCAAAGAGATCAAAAATGCATGTCAGCCTGTACCTATTTGATAGACATATAATTCGAGGCGGTCAACACGGAATATAAAGACTACCCAGGGTCAGAAGCCGTGTTGGGCTTCGCTTCCGTGTGAGCGCTCCCGATTCCGAAAGTCGCAACTATGGGAACCTGGTGAATTGGCAATGAGGAACGCCGGAACAAGCGTTGAGCACCCTGGCAACATTGTCATTGTTACTCTGAAAAAATATGATGCACTACATCAATGAAGAACTGCCCATTTCGGAAAACCAAACTTTGGAGTACTTCACTAGTGCTTAGAACCTGCCCTCGACTCTCAAAGCCAAACGGGGTCGCAAGTTTTCCAGAGCTGCTGAGAGGCGTTCAGCACTCTCCGGGAAAAGACCTGCTCGATTGGGAGATTGATGTGTCACAAGACAAATGAGATTGGAAAAGTTCATTCGGGCCAATGTCTTGTGGAGATTTCGAATATCGCGCTCAGAGATCGAATCAGACAACGGCCTTGCACCAATCGACTCCTCCTGATCGCATGCGCCCAAAACGGCTGGAGCGTTTCAAACAATGACAAAGATCTGCCATTTTCGTCAGTTTGTCCTCCAAGAGCTTCAAAATCTCTGCAGCCTCCCCTGTAAATCCTCAATCCAAAGGAGGAATGAAGTATAATGTCATGTTTGCAAATCTCATAATGTCGTTGAAAGCATCTGACAAGCGATACTAATCTAGATCAAGGATCCCATGTCTTCCGCCTTCGCTGCGCAAAACCGATACACCAAGGCAATCAATTCGCAACGCTCGAGGCCTGCCACCACATTCAACTCAGCAGGAGAAAAATAGGGTTGTCCGTCACTTACTGTGCGGACGGCAACGAGGAAAGGATAAGTATATAAGGATCAGCATTGGGAAAAGAAAGAGAGAGGCTGGCATTGCCAAGCCTCATCTTGTCTGCACAAGGTATGCTTTTTGTTCAACTCAAGAAGGCTGTTTGCAGTCTATTATCACACATATCACCTTGACGTGCCAGTTGAGACCTCTACTCTAGATCTGACCTTCCAGGCAACTTCTTCCCCAATATATCATCCCAACAAGCCGTTGCAGTTTTCTTGGGTCTACGGACCAAGGCCAGATCTTCCCAGCAATCTCCCCTCACTACCTATCCATGTACATCTTTACAATATGGTTGAAGAGTCGTTTGGAATTGACAGTGACGGGAAATAAGGACATCTAGAGTATCGATTTATCTTTTGCCAAACACATATCCACACACAAGAAACCGCATCCTGGCCTTGAATGATCGTCCGCTGCCGCTTGTCAAGCTTTGGTGTCTTTTCAAGGTGTGGCAAGTGGCAGTAGACGCACCCATCACCATTCTCACCTTGCTGCAGTTCCACTCTCGCATCTCTCGTCCAAGATTTTACTCGAGAGCAAACCCAGGCTCTGTGCATTACAATCTCTTTCGTACTGGATATGGATATGACACTCTGCTCGTCCTACATTATAGGCTGCTCCCACCAATACAACCATAATGTAATAATAGGAAGAAGAGATAGCAAAAAAGAATAACGGCCTTCATGATGTCGATGGCATCAGGACCAAATGTAGAACAAAGCACTGGTGTCAGTGTCACTACCTGTTTCTTCGAGTCACAATTGCCTTGCAGGAAATAGATGCAAGGTCTTCGACACGCCTCTGGATGCCCAAGGCTACCCTTGCTTGGCAGCATCCACTTTTTAACTTCCTCAACGTCCTGGCAAAGCAAAAGACTTTGTACATGCATCCACGTGGCAGGTATTCGGATCTAAACCTTGTCATTCACGAATGCGGATGCTGATGTGACTAAAGAGATTGTTGAGGGGTCCAGCAGGTCACTGATTCTTATCACTCATCACTTACCCGTTTGTGGCAGTGTATGCTTCAGACCTATTCTCAGAACCCTTATGAACCCTTGCTCATGTCACTAATATCCAGACGGTTTGCATCCGAGTTAGAACATGTCGCACAGGTCAGCTTCTCTACTCTGTGTTGAGTCATCAGGCGATTCTAAATTCTTCTCAGGGATTGGGATGCATCAGTGTCTCACAATGCCAAAAACCTCGCCTGCTGTGGTGCCTGCGGCAAAATCTCAAATCCTACTGGCTGTGCATGCTCTGTGGGAGTGTCCACATCGTCGCAACTGGTGGGCGAAAGATGCGGCAAAAAGCCATAGACCGTGGTCTCAGAGGAGCCTGCAAGACTCAACACTGAAAACTCCAACATGACTCAAACCACAGTCCTACAGTGCCAATTACAGCACCTACGTACATGCTGCCCTTCCAGTGCACATTGCGAGAAGGGACTTGGACACCCTTTAGAACCACTGGGGGGGTGCACCCTCTTGGGCCTCCAGGAGAGCTTTGCTGGCTGAAGGTGCGCTCACGAACTTTGTTCCCCAAGCTGTCGACATAGGCCCTCCTGAGCTCGGGGAAGGTGCGAAGGCAGGTCTTACCAATAATTGTGATTTAAGTGTAGGCTAATATGTATGGGCAATAATTCCAATGCTAATATACTTTGGTCACACACAAGTTGTCAAATGTCTCCAAATAGGTTGAGAAACAAAGGTTGGATACCCTACTAGGTCTCATTGTTGACATGTGTCGTGACCTCCTCGCTGGTCTGATGTTCAAAGGCAATGCTGGGGAATTCCGGAGCACGATCATAGGGCGGTGAGCTGTGGCATCGTCCACGAGGCGATTTCTCTTCATTCTCCAGGTTGCAGCGCACCTGCCGTCTCCACCATGCGCCACTCGCTGTTGCAAGTGAATCACTCGAACAGGCATCGGATAGGTCTCAAATAGTGGACCGCAAACCCCGAGGAAAGAGGGAAAGTCAATAGATGCACATTTACTGGTTGAGAAGCCCTGATGTTTTTTGTGCAACTCAAGTATTGACTGTAAAGCTTCGCAACGTTTCTCTTACAGCTGTTCTTCTTGGTGAGTCGAATTTCTTGAAACAGTTGACTAGAACGAGACCAGTTGCCCAGAACGGCTTGGTCAAGAGTGTCAAAAAAGGACGAATGAAAACAAAAAACAGTGTTCCTGCTATGGGGTCTTCAAGTTTAAAAACAAGATGAAGCCCACGAACCCGAATGCAAACACGTTCGAACAGCTACATATGTCCAAATGACACTCTTGCAGGACACTCTTGTGGGACACTCTTGTGGGCCACTCTTGTAGGAAACTCTTGGACACTCTTACGGGACACTCTTGGGGGACACTCTTGTGGGACACTCTTGTGGGACACTCCTCTAGTAGGAAACTCTTGTGGGACACTCTTGTGGGCCACTCTTGTGGGACACTGTTGTGGGACACTCTAGTAGGAAACTCTTGTGGGACACTCTTGTGGAACACTCTTGTGGGACGCTCCTGTGGGACACTCTTGCGGGACACTCTTGTAGGACACTCTTGGGGGGCATGCGGTACACTCTTGTGAGACACTCTTGCGGGACACTGTTGCGGGACACTCTTGTGGGACACTC